TACAATCTGAATTTCAACCCAGTAATTTAAGCTCAATTTCATTTTCAAATTATCCAACCACTTTCCCCTTTCATATATAAACGTAAAAAAAAAAAAAAAAAAAAAAACTTAAAACCTTATTCTCAATTCTCCTTTCTCAGTAACTTTCCCTGTCACAAAGAAGGTAGATAACAAGAAATGATTGTAGGAATTTTTCTAGGTGAGGTTCGGATTTCGGGTTTGAATGTTGCAAAACAAGGGAACAAATTTCAGTTTGGATTGGATACTAATTTGAAAAACCGAATTAATTTGGTTTGGATTGGATTGGATCGGATCATGATTTTGTTTGGATTCGGATTCTGATTTCCGAAACCGAAGAAATTCGGTTTTGACTTTAATCCAACCCGCAAACCGAACTTACACCCCTAACTAGGGCATCTCCAACAAATATTCAATCAAATATCAAGGGAAGAAAGGGAGTAGCCTAATAGGTAATAGTTCTAATAGCTCATTGTTTGTATAAGTATTTAGGTTTAACGAGATGAGATATAAAATCTTTATGTTATATTAAACATATCCATAATAGATTCACGGTTATTAATTTTACTTTATGTCTTTGTAAACATACGGTGTTGGATTAGAATAGATGGAAGTTGAATGGCTAAAGATGCACACAACTAAAGGAGATATACAAATTATATTATAGAAAATTTTACATTATTCAATTAACTTTTGTTTGAATGTATTTGACTTTATATTGATTTAATAAGCTTTGTTTATTGCATTTACTTGCATTTGATTCATATAGTTTTATAAATTAGTGTGTTTGAGTTTCATTTGATTTTGTAAGCTTTGATCAACGCATTTGCCTTTCTTTGGAATGCATTTGACTAATATATATATATATATATATATATATATATATATATATATATATATATATATATATATATATATATATATATATTTATTTTATTACCTTTGTTTGTATGTTTTTGAGTTAAAAAAAAAGGCTGTTGAATGCATTTGAGTTTCATTTGATTCATTGTGCTTTGGTTGCATGTGTTTATGAGTTTTATTTGAATCGATTTCCGTTAATTGGATGTGTTTGATTCTATAAACATTTTTAAATGCAATTGACTTCTATTTGATTCAAATACTTCGAAGTTTGTGATTCAATTTTCTTTTTAAATGAATGTATTTGACCTTTATCACCTTCTCAACTGTGTGGATTATTAAATCATGTACTCCTCGAAGTTTTGACCTTTATCACCTTCACAACTTAGAGGGCCATAATGCGTTAATATCACAATAATTGCAGTTCTCCAATAACCCAAATTATAATTGCTTAGAACATTAAAGTTGGACTTAATGACTTGTTTTTAATGTATTTTTATTTTTTCCCGGGGTAACGAAGTTTGCAGTTTAACTTTATACTATTAGTAAGTGCCGTTTTTAGGAAATTCAATGAATACGAAAACTAATGGAAAATAATTTAAACAGCCTCGTGAATTATGTCATTTAATTGTCGGATTTGGCAAATAATACTGTTAAAAAAATTGTTTATAAAGCCTTAAACAACACTATTAGAAAAGGAAATCAAATTTTTTGACAAAAATTTCAATACATTGGCACCATTTAAATATAAAATTGACAAATAGCTTACGAAATAAAAATGCAAAGGTGAGTGAAAGCTGAAGTAGTTGTTGAATCATTAATCATTGTAGTTATTTTGTTAATCTACAAAATTTTTATTTGCTTATAATTTATCTGAAATTCAATCCATCCTTGACAACAATTGTAGTTACTATCCATATTTGGGCGAACAGCTTTGAAGGCATTCAGTTTGTTTCTCCTAATAGAGTGTGTCCAATTTACTAGTTACTACATTATAATCCATACCTCCAATGCTTATTTTCAATACTCAAAGTGGCATTGAATTAACTTCTACAGTACCCTACTAAGTAGAGTCCATAATAGACTTTAATGCAGGCCACTCAAATGAACTTCCCATGCATTAATGACACTGTCTATGCCCCTACTTACTTCCATACTCTTCAATCACCTTTTCAAAATACCAAGATAAGAATTATGAATAAATCCTAAATTGTAGAAAATATTAGACTCTTCTAGCGTTTTTTAGTCCAAAAAATGATCCACCAGTGGGATGGAAAATACCACCCTTATCGAAAATGTTTGCGTGCATAAATAGCTTCCCCACACTCAATTAACTTTTATTCCATATATACTAATTTATTACAAGCTCGCCATACCTTTGTACAAATCATATGTAAATTCCAAATGTGGTGGTAATTTGAGAATTTTCGATGTAGTATTTTAGAAATATATAATCCTTTTTTTAATTCGTTTGCTTAAAAATCCAACAACGGATATTCAACGAGTATTAAAACGGGAAAAAAATCCTTAGGTCTACTCACAAAATGCTGCATATATAGACAAGTAAGAGTTGTTCATGCCACCGTAAATAACTACTCTGTATCAACTAATCAAATGAACATTTTAAACACCAAAATACAAATAATCTTGTGAAATACAAATAATCTTATATTAAACATATCCATAATGTTCAAACTAGAATATTAACTCCAAACTTTAATTGTTGTATCCTCCAATTTAATTACAAAGTGAATCCATTGCAAACTAGAATAACTTATGCTTATAAATAATAAAGTTAATGTATAAAAAAAATAAAAAATAAAGTAAATTTTTATTTAAAGTACCATGATTTAACATATGATATCACATATTGTAATTCCCACATCAGTATTTAGGTGGAATAAAACTCGGTATAACATGTAACTTGTTAGTTATTTGTTAATTATTTATGAAAGATAACTTGGAAATTCCTTCTTGTACAATAAAATAAGTTTTATATTTGTTAATTATTTATGAAATATAACTTGGAAATTCCTTCTTGTACAATATTCATAAAATTTTATATGACTTTAGGTTTACAAAAAATAAAGGTGATTTCCATTTTGTACAATGTTAATAAAATTTATAATCAAAAACTGTTTTATTAAATTATAAAAACAAGGCATAAAAAAAAAGGCCTCACATAAATGAAGCTATGTTTACTATAACGGGTCAAATGAAGCCCAATAATACACGGACAATGCCACGACCCGATTCTGATACCACCAACTAAATCAAACATATATTCTGGCCCACATACAGGCCCATATTAAAATGGCATAGTATTTACAAGAGTAATAATCAATTAGTAATAATGATATTCAATTAGGGAATATCATTATTAAAAAGATTTGTATTTATGAGTAAGATGTAATCAATTTTAATATACTACCGCCGTCCTTTTTAAAATATAATATTGTTTATTGAAATAATTCTAAACTAGTAGGGAGTATAAAATAATGTTAATGTCTAATTCAAGTTTCAAATTAAAGATTCTAAACTAGTAAGAGTGTAGAATAATGTTAATGTCAAATTCAAGTTCCTTATTTTTAGTTTTACACGTACTAAATTAAAATAAAAGAGGAAAAAGAAAAGGGGTTTCAAAATTACAATTCAAAAATATAAAGAGCAATAGATGACATCATAATTACATGTGATTTCTTTATTACCCTTTCGAGGAATTGATGACATCCGCAAGTTTAGATTTAGTAATATTTCCTACAATATTGGTTTTACTCACATTTAATTTTTATTGTTCTATATTACTAAATTAAAGTTTCTAAAATAATGTTATTATTAATAATACTCGCAATTTTTTATCGAAATTTTATTAAAAAAACGTACAAAAGATTTGGACCACACCTTAAAAAAAAAAAAAATTTCAGGCTCTGCCACTTGATACTTCTCATTTCTCAAAATTTCTCAAACTCGAGTGTGTTCTCAAACTAGTTCCTCCTAAAAATACTTTGATTTTTGTTTCCGCATATAAGATTAAAGCTTATATTTGGAAAGGTATTTTTTTAAAAAAAAAGATAAGTAATTCCCTTAGGGAATGAATGAGTGCATATAGGCAACCGAATTTCCAAAAACACACATAAAACTTCTTACAGTATTTTTTTTCAAACACAACGATAAACTAAAAACATCCAAAGAATACATAATAGTTTGCTTAAACCTCGAAATACATAAATTGATGAATAACATAAAACATGAAATAGATTGCTTAGATAAGGTGTCTGCATTGTGCGCATCCTTCTTCCCTAGAACCGCCTTTGAAAATTGCCCCATGAACCAATCGAGTTTAGTGGTTTATGTAGATGCTTTCCGTTTCTTCTGTGAAAAGCAATGCAACATCATAAGGCTTGCATTTTACTGACTAGTTATCAAGGACTAGCAACACAACACATGTAATGGACTGGCAAATAGCACAAATCTTACCTGATTTTTGTTACCATGGCTTTTACCATCACATCCAACGGGAACCAAGTCATTTAAAGATTTCAACTTTGGGGCCTGATTTGCAACCAATATGAATCGATTAAACTAGTGAGAAAGGCTAAATATTTGTGTATTAATCTCTAAGTGAGAACATTCAAGCGCAGATAGCGTTAAATAGTATTACCTTGTGAGCTTGTTTCGTTGCTTGTGTCGTGTTCCTTCCGTTCTCAAGATTCTTCTTCCTAATTTGTGATTTTTGTCCTTCTTTATTACCCTTAATAGTGCTGCTTTTGCGTGGCCCATTTTTGCTACAATTTAGCGTGTTTATCTCCTTACTCCAATTCCCTTCCGATTCCTTGTTTGTCACTTGTGTGACTTTATTTTTGGTTGTCACTTGTGTCCCTCCATTAGACTTTTTCTTCGCTTTGCTCACTGGTTTCTTGAACCACATCTCCGCAAGAGTCTTTTGTCTTGATCCCTTTGGCCTACCCCGGGGTTTTTTCTGCAACAACGGATCTTTAACAGCAACATCGCAGTTACGAGGACATAAATCTGATCCAACGGTGTCATCGTTACCATTTGAAAATGCATTTCTCGATTCAGGGACAACCGTATCTGAGTCCAGTGCATCTTCTGGGAAAGACATTTCAACGCTTTCCTCTGATTTGTGACGCTTGCACTGCTGCACTTCTGACCTCAGATGAGATATAGCATTGGACACCAATTGCACAGCCTCATCGTTGACCATAGCTGCTTCATCGCACAACGATTCGAACTCACCCATAAGCCTATTATACCTTTGTACCTCCACTTTGTCACTAGGATCATGGTACGATACACGAACTCGAGTGTGTTTTCTTAGGATATCCTTTCGCCAACGACTAACAATATACTGGTCAGGTATTTCTAAAACGAGATTCTGATCCAGTATCCTCATCATATGCTTACACATAATACCATGCGTTGTGAATTTCCGGCATTCACATAACACCTCCTTCGTTTGCTTGTTAAAAGTGGCGGAGTAATACCGTCTTCGATTTGTATTTACTTCCTCACTCTGCCCCTCTGGTACAACCCACACTCGATCTTCAACGACATATTGAATTGTATTTTCATTCAACATCTTCTCCTCCTTGCAGTAGCAATACATCATTCGTGAGCATTCTGCTTGTACCTCTTGGAACTTGGTGTCGGTATACAACTTTTGAAACACCCTCTCAACCGCAAAACCAGTAACTAGCCTCCTAACATATTTCACACAATTGGCATCCGCGGCTGTCTCATCACGCACGCATTTCTCCAGGGCCTTAGCATACTTTTGTGGAAATTCAAACAACTTTGTATGTCGATTCACAAAGCCATCAAAAAAGCTATTTATGCTCTCAACCCGTTGTGTGGTTTTCATACCAGCCCAAAAGTGATATCTCATATATGCTGGAACCCACATATGCCGCTCCTTATATAGGCTAGTCAACCAATCATTACACTCCAGTTTAAAGTCAGAAATAAGTCCATTCCACCGATTCTCAAACTCTTCAACGGTTAAACTCTCATACACCACAACCTTCAATAATCCCTTGAAATCTTTGTACCTTTGAAATGAAAGAAAAATATATTCAAAGCTACAACATTTAACACAAATAATAAACATTAAGAGTAATGATAATATAGTACTAACCTTTCACATTTACCTAGTTTTTCAGGAATCTTCCTCATTATGTGCCAAATGCACAAGTGATGTCGCGTAAGAGGCATGACCTCCTCAATAGGCTTCCGCATTGCGGCAGCTTGGTCAGTAAGAGTTGCCTTTGGAGCCCGGTTATTCATAAACGACAACCATTCCTGCAATATCCATTTGAATGTATCACAATCCTCACGAGGAACCAAAGCACACTCCAGCAAAATAGATTGGCCGTGGTGGTTAACCCCAACAAAATTAACAAATGGTAGTTCATACTCATTTGTCAAATATGTGGCGTCAAAGCAAACGACATCCCCAAATTCTTCATAGGCTGCACGGCTCTGCGCATCAACCCAAATAACATCTTTCAGCCTTCCATGTGAATCTAGGCGTTGTGCATGATAAAAATTTGGGTTGGCGGCCTGCATTTTTTTTAAAATAGGACATCATTGCAGCTGAATCGCCTCCAACCATTTTCAACCTCCGTTCCTTATAAACCACGTGCGACAAATCTTTCACGAATAATTGCACCCTCCGTTGGTCCCCTTGTATTTCTGTACCTAAACAACCGTGAATTTGTGAAACAGGAACTGTTTCGGGGTTTTCTGATGTCCTGCGGGAGAGTTACAATTCCGAGACTGGAACCGGACGCCTGTACCTGCAAAATAACGGAGACTCCTGGGAGCTCCGCCTCCAACGGTCAAGTTAGTACTTGATTAAGGAGTAATTAATGCGGAAATTAAAGTGATTGGGTCTCTCTAGGTGAGAGTGTTTACTGTAGGTAATCTGCTTTGTTAGCGAGATCAGCCGGTTATTACTGTGTGTAATTAATGTGTTTTTTTCGTTCTCCTCCCCCTTAATGAGGATTAAGGGAGGTATTTATAACCTTGGGAAACGTGCCCATCCTAGGTTTAGGTTAACCTAGGGCCGATTGGGCTTCCCTCGGAAGTTGGGCCTGGGTGGCCGGTTTCTCCATTAGGCATGGAGTATGCCACATGTCATGACATAATAGGTCCAAGGTGGACGAATAAGCGCGTGCCACGTGGCAAGCCCTGACAGTTCCAACTGGGGGACACTTGGCAGGACCTGATTGGCCCACGTGGCGCATTCCGATTGGTGGGAGCAAAATCCCCTAATCATTTTCCCCTCACAGGTGGCACGTGATTAGTCACGTGTTACCTGTGACAGGTGTCGCACTGTAACAGGCGGCGACCTTCTACAGGTGTCAGTCGGCGAAAGGACGAGAGATTTTCCCGCCCAAATTTTGAATTCTGAAAGTGACCCTTCGCCTTCTCACTTTTCCTATATAAGGGAGGATTGTCTTGAGTCATTTTCACACTTTGAGAACTTTTTGAGAACATTCGGACCCTTGAACTTGCTATGACATTTCGGACCTTTTCTGCCTACCGCCTGTTCTGACAAGCCGACTGCACATGATTTTCAGAACTTCTTCAACCGTCACTCGTTCAGGTAACTGTCAGTTCTCTTACTCTTAATTTTCTTTTTATTTTTTGAAATGGCACCACGGAAGCACACGACACGACCTAGGTTAGTGATCAGCCGGTCACCGGGGACGGCTGAATCTAGGACTAGGAGTGCCGCCTGCCCTTTTCTGGACCCATCTTTGCCCTTTATACAAAGTCCGACTGTATCTGTGTCTATGCAGAGCAGGATGGCCAGAACGAAAAAGACTGCTAGGATCTCAAATTCAAACGGCTCCTCCCACAGGGTGCCGCTTAGTGAAACATCTGACCAGGCGCCAGATGTGGAAGTGAAACAAGGCGGCCTGAAAGCCGGCAATTCTGAGGGAGGAGTCATAGTGACCCCTTCCCATTTAACAATTAACAAATCTGCTCCTTTTCAAAGAGAGGAGGCGGGCCCCTCCTGGAGAGGGCAGGAGTCGTCCTCTTCGGACTCGTCAGAGGACGATTCCGAGTCAAGCTCTTCTGGCCATGCTTCTTTGGACACAGAAGAGAAAAACAGCCGCCTGCAAGAGGCGAGACTTTCTCACGCAGTTGAGAAGGGGGACAATTGGGCGGAGCCATCCGCCTCTCACCGAGAGCTAAATACCCCCTATTACTGCACGGTACCTCGGGGCCGGATCACAGCCATGCAAGAGAAAGTGGAGAGCTTTATTGCAAACCACACCATGGGCCCCGACTTTCTAGTGTTTGTGCCGGATCCAGAAGAAACAGTCGTCTGACCGGCTGGTTCCAATTATGATAGCGCCTGCTTTGGCTGCTACGAGGCGGCCATCAAGGCAGGGCTGCGCTTCCCATTACATCCGGCTGTTCAGCGGATTTTGGATGGGTATGAGTTGGGGTTATGGCAGTTAGCCCCAAACTCCTGGGTCAACGTACTCGGCTATGTGGCCGGGTGCGAACTGCACGGGGTGGAGCCGAGCTTCGAGGCTTTCGCCCATATGAACTATCTCAGCCGAACCCCTAAGACAGGCGGTACCGGCTGGTATCAATTGACAAGCCACAGGGGCTACCTCATGACGAGAGGTAAAACAAACAAGTGGAAGGACTGGCGGAGCACCTTCCTCATCATTGAGAGTTCAGACATTGAGCTTAACAAGCGCTTCAATAGGTGGAACAGGAATCCGCCCCTTCTTGCAGGCGGCCGTAGCATGCCACATGTTCCCCCAAGGCTAAGAAAGAGATCCTTGATAAAGGAATCTTTAAAGTAGAGTCGAGGGTCGACTCTACTTCAGGGGTACGAGAGCAAGTACCCCTGCACTGCTTTCCGAGCTTCAAATGGCTCTACGACGAGTACTTTTTGGCCGCCTGTGGCCTCAGCAGTCGGTGCTCAAGAGGTAGTCGGCCTGTCGAATACTCTGTTGTTCCATACATTTGTTGTTATCTTTTATTAACTTTGCTGTTTGTTTTTGCAGCTGATGCCATGAGCAAAATCACCGCCTCCAAGACTGCGGCGGCCATGTTGCGGGCCTCCATCATGCAACAAGCTTCAACCGACTCCCCCAAGAAGGGGGCACCCTTGGTGAGCTCCGAACCTTTCACCCTCTTTTTGGAGTTGTGTTTATACATATACTGACTTTTTTTTTTTTTTTTAGACGGGTGCTCCAAGAGCTTCATCTTCCCAACAGCCGGACCCCAAGGCCCGGAAGACGACTGTTGGGAGCTCTCCTGGTTCTGCCAGGAAACATGTGGCGGCTGAGAAACAGCCGGCCACTTCTTCTAAAACTCCAACTGGGCCGCCTAGAAGTAAAAAGTTGTCCTTGTAAATTTTAGACTCGCTCCCTTTTTTACTAGGTCTAATCCATTTGTTTATGCTTGATGCAGCCGGCCCTCAGGAGCCTGACTTGGTAGAGATGGCAAAGTCTATGATCAGGGCAGTTCCTCCAGCTGAAAGGGAGGCGGTCAGGGGTGTCGGCACCCTTGACCTAGACGGGATTGCAGGGGTCCTTGCTGAGGTATACTTAGCATATTTTTGAGTATTTGAATTTCTGGACGCCTGTTTTCTTTTTTGTTTGGAAACTGACGCCTGTTTCTTTTTACTTAGGCCCTGCTCCGAGTGAACGGCCTTCGCAAGCCGCTTAACCGGAAGAACAAAGAGGTAAAGGCAGCAAAAGCTATGGCCGCCTCTGACTGTGATAAGGCAATGTTTCAAATTGCCCAAAATGAAGTTCTGACCATTGATATTCTTTATTATCAGGCGAAGGCTACCGCCGCTGTTCGGGCTCAGTTAGAGGCGGCCCAGAAGAGGAATGGCGAGCTGGAGGCGACCATCACCAATCTCAAGGCCGAGCTGAAACCTCTTCACCTAAAAATGTACTCATACGAAGCCGTGGAGAAATCCTTGGCCAACGTAAAGGAACGCCTGGTGACCCAAGAGAAGAGTCTTACTCAAGAGCTCTCGGAAAAGGCCGAGCAAGAGAAGAAAGAGCTGGTCCGGGAGATGATGGAAGACTCCGCTCAAATCCAGCGCATGACCTGGGGCCGCCTCTTCCCCAATGCCGACTTTGCCTCTTGGGAAAGAACGTACCGCCAGTGTTCGGATACATATAATCAAGAGATCCTGGCGGCTGCTGAGGAAGAGGCGTTGGAGGAAGCGTTGGAGGAGGAGGAGCCGGTAGTGGCGCTTGTGCCGCTTGGGGGTAAGGCATCAAAAAAGGATGCAACTGAAGCCGAGTCCAGCAAGAAGAGTGCTGACCAGGCGGCAACTGCTAATATTGAAGATCTGCCCCCTTCTTAAGCTTTATGTATTCTTTCCACGGCCTGCGTGCCGTTTGCTTTGTATTTACCCGGCCAGGGGGCCGGGGCTTTGAATATTTTGCCGGTCATTAATGATCGGCTACTTTTTAATGAATTTTTGTTTTGCCTCAAATTTGTCTAAGTATTCCATATTCTAATATCCAATTGTTCACTAGACCGACTGTTTTACATGGCCGATAGTTGCAGACAGGTACGGATAGTTAGTCACGCCGCCTATGCCCCTGGACGACTGGTTGTCTGTTTTCAGGATAGACGATCGGTATTCGAACTATTTTAAAGACTGGATCCTTTTTAGGCAGGCGGTCCTGTCATTTGTAAATTTAACCAAGTAGGAAAGTGGTCTGACCAAGTAAACATGAGTGTTACCTAGTTGCCAAGGAACTGAGTAGTAGAGATAACAAGCGGCGGGTACCGGTTTTTTCCCTTTATTCGCCAATGTTTGTTGGCTTTTAACTCATAATTTGTTAACCTAGCAGGAGTAGTGGTTGAGAGCTCCTGTTTGCTAAAAACAGGCGGATGACTCATACCTTTTAGGCTCCATACTAAGTTTGAGGGAGTGACTATAAGTTAACATAGGAGTTACTTAGTCTCCGTCACACTCTAGATTGAGTAGTAGAGGTACCAGGCGGCGGAGGCCGGCTAGACCCCTTGATTCGCCAATGTTTGTTGGTTATTAACTCAAGAGGTACCCCCTGCATTTATCCCAAGTAATACAGGCGGTCATCTGACTTAGATGTCAACTGCTACCACTGGTTTGGTTAGTGATAGAGTTATCCTTGTCTCAAAAACAGCTACGTGGTTGCCCTTGGGGACAGTCGTATAGGTGCCGTGTAATTAGTTTATAGAACAATGTTCCACCCAAAAGGGAGCTGCTCTCTGCGACGAATTTCATCCGGAAGGATGCCGCGGGACGCCTGCTATGATGTTGGGACAGGTCGTATTAGTTTTGTAGATTTGATCAGTTGGCTTGGCGCCTGGTCTGATCATTCGGCCTGTGGCCTTGGTAATTTCTTGGTGAACGTAGGTGCTAAGTAAAAGGAGGGTAGCCGCCTGTTAGGCACAGGGTCGACCAGGCCCTAATCTTTTTAGCTAAGTATTAGGGGGGTGGCTATGTGTTTGGAACCAGTCGGCCATCTTCTTATGGAGATTAGCCGACTATATGTCCAGACGACATGCCCCTATTGTGAGTA